TGTAGTGATGATCTTGATTTTTCTGTTAAATGTTCTGAGATGCGTTCCTTCTTCCTTAAGCGTAATTATCCTGCTCATGTAATTGATCGCGCCATTCGTAAAGTTTCTACTATTGATCGTACCACCGCTCTCACTCCTCACACTCGTCCCTCTAATGATCGCATTCCTTTCACTCTTACGTATCATCCTATTAACATTTCCATTAAACCCATTGTTAACCGCAACTTTTCTCTGCTTGACTCTGATACTCGCACTTCTGCTATTTTCAACAACCGCCCCCTTTTTTCCTATAAACGTGATCGTAATCTTCGTTCTTTCTTGGTCAAGGGAGTTCTTCTCTCTAACAAAGAACCTGGTACTTTTCGCTGTTCTCGTAAACGTTGTTATACTTGTCCTCACATAGCCTCTCACACTTCTGTTGTCGGTCCTAAATCAACTGTTAAAATCACTGACCATTTTGTTTGTACCACTTCTAATGTTGTATATTGTATTAAATGTACCCGCTGTAATCTTTTGTATGTGGGCGAGACTGGCCGCCGTCTTGGTGATCGCATTTGCAATCATCTTTATGATATTCGCAATGACGATCCCACCAAACCAGTTTCCCGCCATTTTAATCTAGCTAACCATTCTCTTTCTGACTTCATTGTTTTCGGTCTTTCTTTGATTAACGGCAACAATGATTGTCGCAAGACCAAAGAAATGCGGCTTATTCACCTATTGGGCACTCTTAGTCCCAAAGGGATTAATGAACGCTTTACTTTCAACTAACCTTTTCTTTTGTCTTTTGATTGTTTGTTTTTGTTTCCTTGCCTACCTTGCTCTCATTGGTTTCTTTTCTTATTCTATCATATATACACTCCTTTCTACCACTTCTTTCTCTTTTACTCCGACGAAGGACTAGCGTCCGAAACGTCAGTAAGCTTTTTCATCTTTTCGCGGTGTATAATTTACYTTTTCATCATTACTGTATAATTTTGAAGGTTAATTAGCGGTCTTTGCGCGCGTGGACATCGTGGGCTTAAATCGAACGATCAGGGTACAGTCTGAATCTTGAGACAAAAAACGTTTTGCCGCAAAAACGTGCAAATGACGCCGAATAACCGGTCAGCTTTTTTTGAATAGGCTGATGTCTTATCTCAATTGTTGAGATCCAGACTTATATGTATTTTCATTTCTGGATTTCAAAGCTAACAAAGGTTTTTGAATTGCTTCCAGTGGTGGTCAAACACTAGATAATTCTATCAATGACGAATAGTACACACGACAAAGGAAATGACGTCAAGTGAAACCCAGCAATTCCTAGTTGTCTAGCTTATCTCATCAGTTAATTCGACTACTCATAATCATTGTGCCGCCCAGTGGAGACTTACTTTTTCTTTTTGTATCACGCAGTTGTCGGATTCTCTCCTGCATAGCCTTGATGTTCGCATTTCTCACATCGATACTCAGAGCTGCTTTCTCGAAACACTCTTCACTACAGATGCCACGGCACTCCAGAACACGAGTATCCTCTCTGAAGGTGAAGTTCTTTAGCTGAGTGCTTTTCTTACACCAGGTACATGGACGGTTATTTTGGTTTAGCTGCAGCATGTCAAAAAGGAACAAATATTATGGTACAGAGGGTGCTGTGCCATGATGGTGGCGTTGTCGTGCCGAAAATAGGGACGTTAAGCTGCAGGACGGCAACGTGGGCGACAACGTCGGCGAAATTGAGGCGCTTCAACCTTCTATTGTATTATCATTTCGTGTTTACCTAGTATTTACTCAATAAGCACCCCCGTTTTAGAGTGAAATGACGTCTTTTGAGAACGCTTTACTTATTGTAACGAAAATCAGCAAAGATAAGCTTTTGGCGTAGCCGTTCTATTTAGTACGTAAAAATAGGACATTTCCCGTCTTATTCTCAGCATAAGACGGCAATGATGCACAGTATTTCGTACATTCTAACGAGTGTCTATTGAATAGCGCAATTAGTGCTATTGTATGTTTGCCGTCGTCGTTGCCGTCCTGCAGTTTAGGCCCCGTCCACACGTATCTGCAAATTTTTGTATCCGCAAATTATTTTTTTGCGGATACGAAAATGTTCGCGTCCACACGCAGCGTATTCGAATCATTTTCACCGTCCACACGCATCCGTTTTCGTAAAATTTGCGGATACGGACACAAAAATTTGCGGACACGTGTGGACGCAACCCGCAACCCCAAAAAAAAATTGCGGATACAAAAATTTGCGGATACGTGTGGACGAGGCCTTAAGGTCCCTAATGCGTGGGCAAGGGGTGGGGTTGGGTTGCTTTGAATTTTACTCAAAACATCAATGCTATGAAAGAACCTTTTTCTGATCGGTTGATTGGCTTTAATTTGCTTTTAATCGTGATGCGCACTCGTGGTATTAATCCACTTCATCAATCAAATAATCAATTACGTGAATCGAGGTGCTTCTAACTATACTTTCAGCTTTGCAAATTGGCTTCAGGACGTGCGCTCAACGGTAAGACATAAAGGATTTGTTCACAGGAAGCCCAATTTAGATAAAAAGAAAAGTTAAAATTAAATTGTGCAAAAATCGACTTTAATTATTATTTTATTATTTGAGAGATAAATTTGGTTTACATGTATTACAGAAACCAAAGGCCCTATGTGAAATGAGGCGCGAGAGGGACAGGTATTTGAGGTCAAGATAGTGCCCTATATAACACAAATAAATAACTGTAGTAATTACCTCCCAGTCTTGGATAAATGCTGTATTTGACCAGTGAACAGCAAATAGATGGATAACTACATACCTGATAACTGTACTGTAAATAAGAAGACAATTTCTTCACGACAGGTGCAGTAGACATGCTAGATGTAGCAGTAGTAGTACTACTCTGGACGCTTTTCGAATCACTTGATGAAGTCCGAGACCTTTGCGTTGTGATTGGTTGTTTTTTCTGAAACAATATAGGAATATGACGATGACATATAGGGCGAAATAAAAGATACTAGTCAACGTGTAATAGTCAAATACACACAAACGAAAACAATGGAATTAGCTCTACTAAAGTGTATTAGTATTAATGACTTCACTCTAAGCCTTAGTTCAAACGTCAAAATTCACGAGCCGAACCTAATTGAAACAATGGATAACGTGGCAGTCTTCTTTGATGTCATTAGGTTCGGCTCATGTGAAGTTCGTCTGAGCCTTTTTAGGGGCTGTTTATATGGAGGCGAGCCAGCCCTGTAATCCTTTGCGTTCATATGGGGAAACGRGGTGGCTCACTTGCCGAGATCTCGGTTTAAAGGCCCCGAGATTTTGGCAAGCAGGATGAAAAAGTCTTATATAAACGAGCTAGCCCAGTTAGCCGGGCTGAGTTTCTTTGTTTATTCAAATGCACACGAGGCTGGATGATCGCATAACTGATTTCATCCCTTTAAGCGGGATGAATTTTCCCATATAAACGCAATGAATAATTCATCTCTGCAAAAAGGCTCGCTTCCATATAAACAGCCCATTAGAATCATATTTAGACTCCTTGACTACCCGGCTTTTCCATAGAACCATTCTCTATTTTCCCGTTTAAAAGGTTAATCGTACATCCAAATCTTTTATGTGATCGGCTAGGAATGCCATATTGCCACTAAATTTTGCGGTCACTTAATTTCGCGCAAATGGAAGACGCATATTTCGCGAGACTCACTGTGCTAACACAGTAATGGGTCTACTTCAAAAAAGTTAACCAATCACGACGTAAAGTGAAAACAATGGAATCAATTTAAGTCAATTGAATGAAGCCTACATATATGAGAAAACTTTTAGATGTTATCAACATCCGTGGGAAAAGAGAGCTCGTGATTGGCTGATGTCAATACGATACTGATTTTGCTCTCTCCTGATTGGATAAAGATTTTTAAATCTTAAATTTAGTTCAAGTTAAGCGTGGTTAACACGAGCAACGAGGGCAAACACGTGAAACGCAAATTCAAGACATTTGAGATACGCAAGCGCAGTAGTGCTTGTTTACATCAATAATATTTTGTCTTGCGTTTGCGTTGCTGTAATTCACACGTAATATTGCTTTCAATTGCATTTGAGTTGGTAGCGTAAATCAGGTTTAAGTGTGTCCCCACTGTAAATTTCGCCATTCTAGCAAATACGTTGTGTTAAAGATATACGTGCTTCTTGTAGACATGTATATTATATTTTAGTCAAAAGAAAGAAAGAAAATATGCAACAGTTGAGAATGAGAGCCGTCGACAAAACGGCTATGCGCGCTGTTATTGGCTGAAACAAAATTCAACGCTCAGCTGATAACCTAATGAACATTATTAGTAAATAACAATAATAAAATAACACTGTCACGTTATAACCACGTAGACGTACGTTAAAGTCAATAACAGGGTTTTATACAAGCGCATTAATTTTTTCGCTTATTTTCGCGGTAACATTTTCCGAAGTCGAAAATTTGTACCAATACGGTATATCCCCCAAAAGACATGGAATGTTACAAGAGGTACCAACTCAAAATCTCTACAAAAAAACTCTAGTCAGTTCTACGCTTGCCTTTTTGGAAAACTGTGTACGTTCATCTTAGTAATAATGATAAAATGAAGTATATTTCGTAATAGCCGTAGAAAAAATTTTTTTTACAAACGTTTCGAGACCTGTCTCTCTTCCATTTTAAAATTACCCACTCAGTTCTACGTCTGGTTTCCAGAAAAAAAAGAAAAAAACGGGGGGGGGGGGGGGGGGGGACCTGTCTCTCTTCCATTTTAAAATTACCCACTCAGTTCTACGTCTGGTTTCCAGAAAAAAAAGAAAAAAACGGGGGGGGGGGGGGGGATCGAATTTTTGTGGAGGGAGTAACCTAGCTAGCTCCTTGTTGAATTAAAAGGAGGTTCATGAATTTCTTACCGAGTGAAAGGGGGAAGGCTACAACCATTTTAACAAAATTAACTGCAAATCCCCCGTCCCTACCCCGACCTCCCTCAAAAAAAAAATATACGTACCTTCCCCAAATTTTCTTTTTTTAAAAATACAATTGTTACAACTCAGTGTATAATATACAACCTAAAAGTCTTTCCTGGTCACAAAGCTCGCGGCATATTTTCCTTTTCCAAAAGCGTTTTTAGCTTGGGCGTAATATTTTCCCGTTTCAGACCACGTGTCATTCCCTAGAGTATCCTTTCTCTGTTTAAAGGCTGCGCATGAGAAGACACATGAAAATGCATATACAACTTAAACAAAGAAACTTATTCTCAAGGGAATGACACGTGGACTGAAATACAACCAAGCTGAAAGTATCTGTCACCTTCCCAGGCAGATATCCTGAAGAGGCTTTGCACCATCACGTGACAACAGCCATGTTATTAGATGGCAGGAACAATTTACATGAGAAATAATTCAATTCCCGAGATCAAAGGGATTTTATATTTCTGCCACCTAATCACAGGCAGTCCAAGCTGTATCATGGGCGTCGGCACGTGATGGTGCAAAACCTCTATACCCAGTATTAGAATAAAAGCAATAAAAAATTCAGTATCACACAAAATGAATATATATTCGAAAATTAAATTTTCGTTGTCATTGTACAATTGTATGAAAACTTATCTAGACGGTGACAGTTTTTTACATCTGTCCGCGATGCTGGTTACGTGTTGCCGGTTTTATATACAAAGATTTTATCTGTCTAGCTAGTCTCGTAATATATTCAAAGCAGAGTATGCAATTAACCTTCTTAAGTTGTGCCGAWTGAAATTGATGTGATTGCATGAATTATAATTTTTGTACCTTTTGATTGGTTAGTCTTATGCACTAGTCAATTAAAACCCCCGACCCCCGCGGCTAGCGGGGCACTGAACGGGGACGTGACGCGTTTTTGATGTGCTTTTAAGAGCATGATTGCACAAGAATTTGGAGTGGGCGTGAAATGTGTTTCTCGTTGACTACTAAACCAAAAAAACGGGACCACAATAGCGGAGGTTTTAACAGTGAATGGGCCCCCGATTACTGGGGAAAATGTCTGATTTTAACACCACTCAAATGTTAAAATCCCCGGTATTTCGCGGGGGYCGGGGGGTGGAGGTTTCAATTGACTAGTGCATTAGCGAAAGCTATTACGCTGTTACGCTCAAAAATTTTAAGTAATGGCAGTTTTACAAAGGAAGTAAAATTCGATGTGCAATTCAAGAATAAAAAGAAATAAACTATAAACCATTAGTTTCTGTTTTATATCTTAAACTCAAAAGATTTTGCTGCATGGGAACTTTGAAAACCAAAATATAAAAGATCAAGAAAAGGCTCACTCACACTGAGGTTCGACGCAAAGTAGCACGCGAGTATGAAAAACAGTACAATACCCTAATTACCAGGTACACCTCAATTAAAAGTCACGTGTGCTACATAGACCTCGTTCTTATGAATCCAGGGTAACGCAATGACAGATCTAAAAATTAGTAATATGGACACGATCAGGAATTACAGAAATAAGACCATTGATCACGTTTCATGCGAAAACTTCTCACCGCCCCTGATTTTCCATAATCTTCTTTCAGAAGATTGCCAAGTCTTCGTCTCGACACTAGGTACTGAAGTGTTTGAACACTCGTATTCACAACAATGGAAGTTATCGTTTCCTCATTACAGGAAATCTGTGCCAAGACTTGACGAGACTGTCGACAAGGTTTTATTCTAGCAAAGGAAACCCAATGTTTTAGATTTGTTCTTATCTGTTCAGCACATATTAAACTATGAATCATATGATCAAGATTACAACATATCACACAAGTACTGCGTGTTTTCCAAGACCTTTCTTGGCCCTCCACATGTTAATAAACTGTATGTAATCTCGTTGATCTTCGTCTTGCTGGCCGTTATCGTATCTTAATTTCACCTTTTGGAGCTTTTTGTAGCATTTATCGCAGATCGGGAGGTGAATCATGTGATCAGGCAGATTTCGGAATAAACTTGGGTAGCGAGACCTGAAAATCGGTCGACTAGGGTCTTTGTTYTCGTGGAGAATTCTCTCGCAAACGAAACAAACATTAGTCGTATAGGAAGAGCAAGACTTGGTGGTAATGTCAATACCGGTCCATACTTTGATATGCGCCACATAGTCTCGCTCCTCGTCTGGTACATTGGCTTGGATGTATCTATCGCGCTGCCGATTTAGACGATCAAAACAGGTGTGACATACTTTGAAATGACCAACATTATCAGCAACATCGACGAATAGAGATGGAAACTTGCTTCGTCTTAGTTTTCCCTGACGTGAAGATTTGCTAACCGATATGGAGCAGACATAGCACTTGTAAGACTCATGGTTGTCTGGACTTTCTTCTGTGCTCTCTGTGCCTTCAGACGCCTCTTCTTCTTCAAGTGAAGAGTCAGGAGGTATTGATTCATCAGTATTTTTTCCCTCCTTAATACTCGGCTGTAGTCGGCCGTCACTATCCTGTGCGGTGTCAGTGGTTGTTACGGTAACCTCCTTAGCAACAATATTGCTCACACATACACTGTCTCCTAGTACATAACTCGGAGATGTTCCAGTGYCGTCTTTATCTTCCAGTTTACAGTCGATGACCTTGAATGTAGCCCTGCTTTGGTTCTCAGGGATAATGTTGGTCCTTGGCTCCACCGTGTTTACAAGGGTATGGTAACACTTGGCACAAACTGCAGCTTGATATAACCAATCAGGTTGACCATTAAATAAATGAGGATATTGCACACGAAAAACAACCTCGGGTTTCTGCAGGAAATACTCCGAACACGTGATACAGTTCCAGAATTTGAATGTCATTGCACTTTTATTCTGGTTTACGACCAATGGAAGATTGGCAACCACGCAGTACAGTCCGCGAACCGCCGGGGGAACAGCATAGAAGTGAGGGGCCTGGGAAGACAGAGAACAGAGGCTTCAGTTTGTGAYAAAAAGAAACAAACAAACGAGTGGATTCATTAATTTCTTACAACTATTTTCAACGTCCTAAAAAAGCTAAGTAAAGGTCGCAGTGTGCGCTATTTCTATCGAGGTTCAAACATTCAGTTTAATATTCAAAGTTTGACTTCCATCTTGCTTTGTAACTTGCATTAATGAAACGAACGTTGCAAATTTAAAATCTGAGATCGGATTAAAATCTATTTAGTTCTTCACGCGGATTCGTTCAAAGCCTAAATCATTTTTACAGTTGTGGCTACCATTTTAAATTAATCTCATATTCTCTTGGTGTAGTGTGATGTTTAAAGTTCTATCACAAATAAACATTTTGTTGTTTTGGGGTAAAGGTTGGGATTGAAATTTATAACGTTAGTTTCATTAGTGCAAGCTTCAAAGCGAGATGGAAACCAAGCTTCGAATAATAAAATGAATCTTTGAACCTTGGTAGGAGGAACGCATGAGCTGGTTCGACTGTAATGAATCCAATTGCACAAAAATAAATCAGTGTAAGCTAAATCCGCGTCAAACAGTGAACAATATTCACAAGTTTCAGGATTCCTATACAGTATAGTGCAGTGTTTTTAAACATCCAAAATTTACTTAGTGTGACTGCATAATCAGAGTTTCTGAGTTGAAAGAGTAACTGAAAATAGTGATTATACCGCACCCAAACTGAAACCTCTGAACCCTGACACCTAGAATGTCTATGAGAAAGAAATGGATAAGGAAATAGAATAACAAAACACAAGAAAGCAAATGGGAAGAAATACAAGATATACAATAAAAATGAAAGAAATGTTCTTGTTGAAAAACGAACCCTATAATAGATGATGGTTTATGTCTATTTAGTTTATATATCATTAATAAAAATAGGGATGAGAATAAAGACATTTAAATTTTTACTTTCTTAGCCACCTTTGATCATTATTAAAGTTACTGCATACACTTATTTCAATAAAGTTAGTCACCTGAAAAGCTATAAAGCTGAGGCCGACAAGGATTATGGGTAGATTCATTTTACACGTTCAACCGCTTGATAACTGTTCATGGACTTGCGAATCTTTTACCGGTTACAATCTCACCTCTTCTGAGCATCATCGAGCTGCAATTTGTATTAAAAAAGCTTTGTATATGTATGCTTTTTTGATATGAAAAGTTTCCCATGATGCTCAGTCATCTCAGCTTTCTAGGTTTTTGGTGACTAACTTTATTGAAATAAGTGTATAAAAAAGAAAATTTTATGAAGAAATAAAAATACTCTAACAAAATTCCACCGACCCTTCCCCTCTCATAAACAAGAAACCAAAACCAAAACAGCCCAGAAATGAACAGGCAACACACTAATTTTAAATTACAAAAATTAAACCAAAATCAAAATTGTCATGTATTTTACTCAAATATTTCCTTATTCCCATTCAGCTAGTGGAGGTAAACTGTTGATGTGATGTACATACAGTAATGTATAACATGGAGTTATTGTCATACTCACCAGTGCTGGTTGTACTACTGTTGACTGGCTCACAGAAGTGGCAGTAGATGGAGTACTTGACTGTATAACCTTGTTTGGTTCAGTTGCTGGAGGGTCTGGAGATACCTGTTAGTAATTAGAGCAAAAAAGAATGGTCGTGTATGATACTAAAAAACAATCCTTTTTACTTTGAAGAAAAATAATCAAACCACTCTTCGGCGAACTCATAGATACTAGTTTCAGTTTTCAGAGATTGGGTTTCCTGTGCTTTTCTTATGCTTGTTAACAGGTTGTTAAATTCCCAGTCTAACTGGTAAAATGAGCAATTATCCTTTAACTTTCCTTTCAATTTCTACTTTGTTTAAATCTTTGTTATTTTGGTGAGTTTTGAAGCGAAATCTGTAATTAACTAATTGTTTGAGCAGTAATCAGTTGAAGAATTTAAGAAGAAAATACGAAAGACGACTTTAATGACTTTGCAGAATCTGGCTTTTGATTTGTTTGTTTGTTTGTTTGTTTTTGTTTGTTTGTTTGTTTGTTCCTGAAGAGTGTCCTTTGCAATGGATCATTCCACGTAAGAGACTTCAAAATGAATATAAGATTTGAAGTGTATAAATGACCAGCAGCCTGTCATGTATTTCAAAGCACTAAATAGCTGGCAGTTATAATTATTTAAAAAAATCCAGATTAATCCATGCATTCACACGAACCAAACTCTCCCATCATGATTAAGAAGTGACAAGTGACTCCTAAGGACATTTTCCCGGATGGGGGGGAATGATGCACTAAATTTTTCTTTAATRTGATYATCGTTATAATCTTATTAAACGCTGTCCTGTCTTTTTTAAAACCGGCGTTGATAGCCGGGGTTGGTTTTAATAACTTTTTWAATTTATGCGTACTTTTTAGGGGCCATTTTAAAAATTGACCGCCGATCACCCCTACCACCTGAACAAAGGGAGTACCCCTCCTCCCCCCCAGGGCTATTTTATCTATCAAATTTTTGAATTTTTGGCTTGGATGACCACATAAATGGCGGTCCCATCCTTAATTAACCAGAGGCGTTAAAAGAGGACCACGATTTGATCAGTTTAATAATTACTGTCAAGTGTTATTCTCTATAAACAAAGTTAATTATTATCATTACTGACATAACTATCAAGAGATCAATGCTGATCAGAAGATAAGCCATATCTGTCAGTTACTGTCAAATGTCAGTTTATTGAAGTATTTGGTATTTTTCTTTTTGCATAATAAATTCAACCAATTCAATATATAAAAAACTGGAGACCATCATTTCCACTTAAARAATACATTATTTTGTATACTGTAGATAAATAAAAAAACCTTAGCAATTTATGGCTCTAATATATTAAATTTCAACTCACAAAATTGGAATCTGATGTGGTAGATGGTAATGAAGCAACTATTTTGGTACATTAGACCAGATTTTAGTTTTTATCAAACTTGCAAGATTGGTCGAAAAGCAAAACTATGTTGTGGATTGATGCCCGATGTACAGAAGTATTTATCTACTTTTTATTGAGACTTGTATTATTATATTATGTATTTCATTACATTATCTATTTATATCCAAATTGTGTATTCAATTTTTCTCTGTTTTCATCGTTTCTAACAATTCTATTCTTATATTTTCTATGCAGTTATATATTTACTGAATTACTTTCTCAATGCCATTACTAAAAAGTATCTTTCAAATGACTTGAGCCTAACTAGGAAAACTCCCCAGTTTATTTCGGCTCTAGGCATAAATTACATGTATCGTAAAATAATAATTACCTTGTAATATGTAAATGTAAAGATAGTTCATTTTTGTAAATATAATTAATTGTAATAATTGTGCAAAAATAAAATTGAATTGAATTGAATCGAAACTTGCTATAAAAGAATAATTATTGCAGCCTTAAGGGAATTATAGGAATAAGCCTTTTCATAGTTTAAGAATCGATTCCACTGCGCATGCGATTTTATCCCGAATTTCTTACCTTCTTTTGTTTAATTAAGAACAAAAGAAGGCTTAGACAAAAGAAGGTGAGAAATTCGGGATTAAATCGCTTGTGCAGTGGAATTGATTCTTAAACTGTGAAAAGGCTTATAGACTGAGATCTGAGACCGAGATAAATAAATAAATTATAAAATTTTGATTGCTTCTTTCACGAAACCCCTCTTTTGGATCAAAATTATCTTAGTGCTAGAAAAACCCATGACTYCAAAGTACATGCAAACAATATGCTGATAAATAGCTGGTATAAAAACTTATGGAATGAATGTGCTTTCCCATTACCATGGCAGAGATGTACCCAAGCAAGAATGGCTTAAAAGCTTGCATGCTGTGATTAATTTAACTAATTAAACAGAGGAATTCACAGTATATATAACCTGATCTATAATATTACTTACATTAGCTGCAGCTACATCATTTTGTTGTCGTATGATGTCACTTACACTTGTATTTCCTAGAACACRATAACAGTGTATATTATATGTGTACATTTTGATGCAGTTAAATGCTGTTTTGTGTTGTGAGAAAATATAAAAGACATGCAAGATAGTAAGTTCAATAATATGGGATGAGATTGGAGCTACCATRAAAGCCATATTAGAAGCACTAAACAGGGATCATGGTAGTGCATAATATGTAGTTCAAGCATTTTGTTGTGGATGCAAATTAATTTTAGGAAGCCCTCGTCAACACAAATGAAGTGAGTCCTTAGATGCAATTRAATTTTTGAAAAATGCTTCTTTTGGTTCTGTTTAACCAATAACAATGCATGGTAGCAAAGAGCATGAAATGTGATCCCTGTTTTCTATTAAGAGAGGTATGTCAGCAAAAATTAAACATATGCCAGCAACAGTTGCAAAATTAAATTTACTCATAATTTGACATTAGGGCCACCTTGTGACAACGTAAACCATGGTAAGCGTACGCGTCGGTTAATAAGTTAATGAGTACTTGGTTATTTAGGGGATATGGATTAACTTATTAACCGACGCGTACGCTTACGTAAGCGGTCATGAGGCAGGTATAGGATACAGTAGTTCGTTACATACGATTGGACCATTGGTCACAGCAGTATTTTTGGCGTATATAGACGGGAAAACTGAATAAATCAAGCCAGCACATAACAGAACAGTTGAGTAACAGTTTAAACAGTTTCTAAYGGCTAAAAAACACCAACATAATGGAGTCTAACGGCTAAAAGACCACCAATTTTTGCCCTAGCGCCCTTGACTGAATAAAAGCAAAATCGATTTTTCGGCTGTTGCCAGAAAATTTCAATTTAGATTTTTGCTGACATMTTTTATTAAGGTGACTGGCTACTTTTGGAATTAAATGGATGCCTATGCAGAAGTTTTTAAAGCAAAAATTCCTTCATCAGAAGTGATCAGGAAAAAAAAAACTSCTAAGACCATATGTGAGCCCCTTGTGTGAGGGCATGTTTGAGCCCTGTACGGCTACCTTTTCCTTAGCTCTTTCAAATTTTGATTTCTTTTTATAAAGTTTTCTCTTTAGTTCTTAACATTTAAAAAACACTCATTACTTTTCAGAACTAGATATGTTATGGCAAGCATGGGTGGCGTATTGGTGTGAGCGCTTGCCTCTCATCAATGCGACCCGAGTTGAGTCCCACCAGGTTCGGTGTTGTATACCAGCAGAGTTATTTGTTGCTTCTCTCCTGTGCTTCGAAGGTTTTCCAGGTTCTCCGGTTTTCCTCCCTCTGCAAAAATCAACTCCTAAATTCCAATTTGATAACGGAATGAGGGCCACAGGTTTGTTAGCCACTGGCTATTAAGTGCTACCCTCRTGAAAAAGGACGKTTTTTTTTCTTTTCTTTTTCCAACCTATTTAAGAAGGACAATATTTGCCCTAAGATATTGGTGTAATGAACTGTTTAACAATCAGCTCCTTCGGCAAAATGAAGCTACATCCAAACTGGTTTCTAATGGCATTTGGAACRTCCTGAAAACTACCAGTATTATCAAACTAAAAAGAGGTAATTGTGGCAGAAATCTGAAGAACCAAATGACAAAAATTCATCCTGTTAAACCAAGAAGTTTTGTTAAACCAACGAGTTCACAAACAAGAATCTTTGGAGCTTACAAAGTTCTCTATGTTCCTTCACAACTTTAGTGAATCATTCTTTGAAGACTGACTAGCTAGCTAACTTATCTACTACATCCAAAAATTAGTTATTTCCAACAGACAGTGAAGAAATCTGTGATAATATCTCATTAGGCCTCAATCTCCCAAGGAAACGTCTATGCTTCACGTCATAAGATTCCTTTGCAGCCAAAAATCAAAAGAATCCAATATTTTTGGGTTTGTCAAACCGTTTAACAATTATTAACTGACAACTGGCTCCAAATTGATGAATAAGCCCTGAAGCATATTGGGAATTGGATACACAGAAACCAGAAACCACCTAAATCATGATAAAATTAAGTTCCTTGCCACCAGGTTTACAAGACCAAAACATCAAACTTGCATTCACTGAACAATGAAATAATTGACTCTAAGCTTATAAAACCAGTAGCTTAACATAAGTTGGTGTAATAATCGATAAGAACTTTTAAGTTTAAAAACTGGACCACTCATATTAGATTGGTAACTTGATTAAGAAATTTAATAGTAGATTGGCTCTTCTACGAAGAATCAAATATCTTTTGCCACTCTATCTATGCAAGTAAACGTTTTCATAATAGTTTAATTCAACCTCTAACTGATGATGAGATCGTTGTTTAGCAATACCATAGTAATTTCATCTTAGATTAGATTTCGAAGCCCAACTGAAAATTATCTCATTAAATAAACATGTTTATTATTATCATCATTATTATCATTATTATTATTGTATAATAGGGGAGTCAGGATGGCTTGGTGTTAAAAGCTCGCCTCTCACCTCTGTGGTCCGGGGTTCAAATCCCAGCCACCCCAAGGGTTTTTCTGGTCCACCCTCATCTCAAAATCAACTCTAACTAATTCAAACTGGTTAGAGCTGTGCTCCGGGGTCATACATGGACTGTATAGCAGCTGCCAGAGGCACCTTCACATGCTTTCAGTTTGACCCCGTTGAGCTGCGCCATTGCTGTACTTGTGGTGGTGATAATTAAGCAATGACAAGTTATTTTCATATTTATCTAGAGCGCAAATGATATACCCGTCTAATTAGTTAAAACATGTGAGCCATGACGGGTAAACTAGTGCATGTGTGCTACTCAAGATCATGCATTTTTAAATATTTTTAAACACACTTACAAAAACTGAAACAATATTTTATTGTACATGCTTTTCCTTCGTATAATTTGACATGTTCGCATATTCGTATCTATTCATTTGCRTATTCGAGTTGTTACTCTAGTAAACGCCCGTGCCCTTGTCATGCCTCACCGAATTCCTATGTGTTGTCTAATTAAGCGCTAACTATCTCCTATTTCATCCTAACTATTTCACAGGTATATTATTTGCACTCTATTATTATTATTATTATTATATTATCATCATCATCATAGTTCTTTAGACTCTATAATTGCACATATGCCATCTAGTGAATCATTCTACAATACTACATGGGTATTCTTGACAAAAAGACAAATGCATTGATTTGTCATTATTTCATCCTTTCAGTGCCCTTAAAAATTCTACATGCATGTAAAAATCTGTTTCATGTGTAAGAAAAATAAACTTAATTTCTAAAGAAATAACATAGACTCTTAGAAATTTTTTTTAATTAACCTTATGACAAGCATAAAACCCTATGCAAATTTTAGGGTTTTGAAATCTTGAAGTTTAAAATGTGTATGGTTCTTCAATAAAATCATTTATTCTGCAATTTTTGAGGGCAAACACATGGTGGCTCAAATTAAACTTTGAAAGTAGACAGTCACCTTAGATCTTTACTGGCAGGATTTTTTCGGCTTTATTTTTTTCTAAATAAAGTCATCTAGATGTTTATGATAGAAAGTGGAGTGCTGCATGTCATAAATAGAGGATATTACATGGGCGCGCGGAGATACGAAATTTATCTTTGAGTGTTGAAAAGATCTCTCACGAGTGAGCGCAGCGAACGAGTGAGAGATTTTCAACACGAGAAGATAAATTGCGTATCTCCAAGCGCCCATGTAATATTCTGTTTATCATATGATTATCAATGAAGTGTGTTTTGGCTTTTTCAGGCAATTCTTTCCGTGTATTTTTGAATAGCCATCGCAATGGTGTTATTTTCACACGTGAAAATAACATGTTATTTTCACGTGTGAAGATATCAATTTTTCGAAATAGAGAAAAATAGATATTTCATTGGTAATTATATAATAATATAAATTTAATATAAAAATAGTAATTTGAGAAATATTGAGCTCCAAGCGAGTGTCATTGCGAATTTTGGTGGCTGACTCTGGCAATTATTATCAAGTTCTTTGATAGCTACAGCAATCAAAGTTCAACAAACCTTCAACTTTAACAATGATGGGAGTATCACTTGGTGAGTCTTCTGATACAGGTAGAACAATCGGTGGAGTGGTTGACATGGAAACTGATGTCATAGCCACAGGAGCTGATGACTTCCCAGCTGTAGTCATGACAAGCCTATGTGTAGCTGCAGTAGATGTTGTACCTTTAAGTTCATCAGCACCACTTGGGACCTTGATATCCAGACTATCTACTGATTCACTGGTGATTTCCTCATCATACCCAAACATGCCGAGAAGTTCATTCATAGTTGTTTTTGCATAATCCTGAATCAAAGATAAGAAAGAATAATGTCAGCTTTAAATTATACTGAAGGGGCAGATTGGTCCTGTTTCCTAAAAATCATGCATTTCTATTGGCTGCCATGATAGAATAAAAAGTATAATAACATAAATGAAAATGTGTTRACTCACTACTCGTTGGTTTTCTTAGAGCTTAACCAACTTGTTAAAATTTATTCCAAATTGTACTCAAAGCCATATGATTTCCTATACAAATAGCTTGACTTTTAAAACCCTTGGTTTTAAATCATTAGCTTTGAATTTCCAATTAGAGGTTGTTAACTAACCAATCTGCCCGCCTGCCTGTCTGCCTGCCTGTCCGTTTTATCTGCCTGCTTGAAACACTTGATACMACTAGCCAAATGGCCGAAGTAGACAGCAAACAAGACGCTCTTGGTGCGTGCACTGGGTTGCCCAATGTGCTGGAGCTTATTTAACACCTAATTTTTGTTATGTACAGCTATTTGGGAGGAGGGGGTACGTTGGAACATTTTAGGTGTATTTTTCTTTGAGAACTTGCGAACACATTATCTTATTTTTCTCAAGTCAAATTTATTCAAAAACATAATGTACACCTTTTGAACATGATTTTTCAATAAAAATGTACCGCTTTGGTACATATTTTAACCAGCAAGTGGAATGACACTAGATTAGTAAAACTATAGATGTGGTTTTGTAACAAGAGAAAATAGCGTTGTGTTACTGCCRCCACTAAGTTTTAATAGGCTCCATCTAAAATCACACTGACAACAACTAACTTGACCCCAAGGCTCGTGGCATYTGATGAAACAATGAATTTTTCTTTCAAGAACAGTGTATAGGCCAAATAAGCAACATAAATGTGTTTAGAAATATGTTTAAATCCTGTTTAAATGGTTATTTGCTTTTCGCTAACCGTTCTTAAGTTCTCTATCTCTCTATATCGCTATTATTAATTATATTCTTCAAATATTGCCTTTTTAAATATCCAAACCAGTGAAGTGGAAYTGTGAAAGTTGGTTAGTAAAAGATTTCAAAACTTAGAGAAAAGTATTTACGGCCAAAGTTAGCAGCTGTGATTACCACGTGAAATTTAACGATATATTCATATATATCACTTATAAACTAAAAACTGAAAGCTATATTTTCATTGAGGCTCTACTAACCCACGCCATTGAAGCCAGTATACTGCCGACTGAGTAGCTTTATTACAGTGTGACATGCCGTACCGTAGTCACTTGAACAAATTTTTGATGAATTTTTGACATATTCGTGACATATTTTTGACGAGTTTGATGTGTGTAATTTGTCCCACCTTTGTTTCCGATCAATTTTGTATAGCCACGGACTTGGGAAATAACTTTCGTAAGTGCTAATAATTGCTAAATTTATTGAATTAATTTTACTAGTAAATACAATCCGATAAACACAGCAGTTTTATCGGGGTTCAGTTTGCAAATATGAATTTTTTTTTTAAATCTACATTTTAAAATCAGATGCTTAACTTTGCCATAACAGAAATGGCGGGATTTACGATGGAAGAACACTTCCTACAATGTTCCGAGAAAGAATATTGGATCTTCACCACAAAGCTTGGAGCAGGACAGAGACAGATCTCTTGAGAAGTAAGAGCGAGTCTTAGATATGTTCAAAACATAATCAGCCGACATAATGAAGCAAATACATCTCAAAGACATCTGCATAGTGAATACTCTACTCCTAAAGTCACAAACGATGCATTGGAATATATAGAAGTTCAAAAACTCATGAAACCCTCCGTATACTAAGTATGGAACCGAGATAAGATACAGACTACTTTTTAGTGTTGTCCACTCTGGYGATTTACCCTATGTATCGCAAATAAACAAAGTTATCCATAAAAAGCTGGTTAGCCACACTTTCCTAGGCATGTCTGACTCCGCTTTAGTCTCCGCCTCTCAAAACAAACTCATACGTGATTGGTTGCATTAAATAAAAATATGTCACGAATATGTCAAAAATTCATCAAAAATTTGTTCAAGTGACTATGGTACGGCACGTCACACTGTAATACCAATAAATACCTGAATTACAATCCTAGAAATCTTCTTTTACTGCTCAATTATATTACTTCTAAAGCCTGGAATTACATCCTCAGCTGCTAAGCCAATCYATGAGCCATTTATCTATGAACATGTCATTCAAATACATATATGTGTACTATCTAATTGCACAACAATGCACATTTCGCGAGAAGGAGACTACAAAAAAAAAAAACAGAGGCATTTTACAACTGGGCTGCCACAGGCAATCCAGTAATAAAACAAGAGAATTTCAGGGTATTCTCTACTTTCACATCGCCATAATGCCTTGGGTCTTTGGGGGGGTAACCAATCAAAAAACTGTCCCAAATTGAAAGGTTTCTTAATTGAATTGATACTATACCTGCATTTATCTGTACAATACTGTTTATCAGTTTATTCCAAGTTATTTTTGCGTGTACAGATCATCAAGAGCTTTGGTCTTACAGAAAATATATTGACTTACGAAAAAATGTTTAAAATTTACCTTTTACCTCTTCAAGCTTCTATCTTTTTCTGTTTTTTACTTCTTCATTTTATTTTTGGATACCAAATAAGGTATTTTCAACATTGTCTGATCAGCCTTCAATAAAAGAAGTGGGTTTTTACCCTCTGGTTACCCCCAAAGATGTAAAGTATTATGGGATATGAGAGTAGAGAATGCACRTAAAAACAGATTTACCAAATACAAAAGATGGCATGGCATTAAAGTTCACATACCTAAAGATTTCTTATCAGGCTGTTTTTCGTCATTTTTTTAGTGATATAAGAATTGTGTTACTTGTATTGGGATATTGCATAAATACCATTAAGACATTAAGATCCCTGTGGAATTCCCTGCTGTTCATGACTTACCCCTTTAGAATACAAGTGAAATTGGGGTCCTCAACCCAGCACAGCACACAAAAAACACRAAAACAACCCTGACCCCCAAAGAATTCTAGCACAAAAATGCTCCCAACCCCTGAAGAATTCCATCTCCCCAACCCCTGAAGAATCCCAAAATCCCAAAGTGGTGGGGGGAGGGGGGGTTGGACGGGGGTATGAAAAATTCATGCAATAGCCCATTTGCCAGTCATTAARTTCAAAAATTTAATTTACAAGTTTTTACGTTTTTACAAGTTAAGGCCGGTTTAGATGGTACAATTTTCGCCTATAACTATCGCATACCACACACTTGCGCGCCTGTCGTAGGCGAGTTGTAGGCTTGATTAACACACTAGGACTCCAGTTGTAGGATGCCGTGAGCGTGTTGTATCAGATGATTGTAGGCGAAAATCGTACCGTCTAAACCGGCCTTTAGACAGTTTATACTGGTGCTAGCTACTACAGTAACTTTTATATTTCATTCATATTCAAGTAAAAGATAAGTTTAGAAAATTTTCTGGCCATATCTTCATAATCTTGCTAGGAAAGAAAAGAAATGAGTCAATTGTCTGGGCAAACAGGCACATACAGTACTAGAATTTTGGAAAACTAATCAATTTACATGCAAGAAAGAAAAAATACAAGGTTAGGATTAGCTGTTAAGCTGATAAAGACACGCTCAATACTAGTAAAAATTCATTTATTTATGGTACTATCCGATCTTCTTGAGAACCTATCAAATGAATGAATTGTAAAAAAAAGAATTTTTGAATGAAATTATGATGGAAAGATGATRAAAAGTGAAGGAAAATTTGAAAGTAAAAAAGGGCTTGTGAGTTTAAAATAAAAACATAAAAAGTTCAATAATACTAATAACATAGAATAAAAGAACAGCATAAGGTTTTGCGTAAAGCTGACAACAAAAGAACAACACTTTTTTCAGTTTTGAACTTTGTAACAATTCAATAATGACTAAAATTTTACTAGAGTAATCCCGACATATTATTCTACCTTTGGACACTGCATATTTACGCTAGTAAACTCGATTTCTAATCATTAAGAAAGTTTTAGTTAAGGATAAACCAAGGATTCAAGAATCGCCACCTAAATGAGCAAGTGTCCTAACATTCAGCATGAAAAGTTCTTCAATCTAGCTCGTAAACAAAACAACATACTTGTAAGCTGCATCTGTCCTTCAAGCATTTCACCTCCTATTGTCACCCCTTCTTAACTAGTAACTCACTTTTATTTCTTCTTTGAAGTTCTCTTCGCCGTTTCTAGAGGTATTTTCGTCTTCAGTAAGCATGTTGCCTTCTCTTTCAGCCATGATGAAAAACACGAGTTTCGCGCCTTCAACAGATTCCAAGATGGCTGCCAATGCGAGAAGATAGAAGTGATTTGGTCACAGCAAAAATACCTCTTAGGGCCAGATGCTTTAAGTGCAGATCAGGTCCCCCGTGTCGTTGAGCTGTCAGTGCAGATGAATACTGCCTTATCTCTCGTAGTGGTTATCAAACGGATGGGATAGCTACGATAGAGTGCTGTGGTTGGTGTTGCTTGTTGGTAGACAACAGATAAAACAAGTCAGCTACCAAACAATTCAATCAAAATTAAATTAAGATTCCTCCAGTCTGTACGAAAACTTGATTTTACACCTCTCAAGGCAATAAAATGAACTGTTTACGTATTAGGACAGAGATAAATGAACAGGAGAAAAGCCTAAAATTGCGCCAAAGTGAAGAGGCTCAAGACTAAAATCTCCCAACCCATTAGAAACRCGTGACAAAACTATTCCTACTGGGGGTAGGCTAAAATATGAATTGAAAGAGCGCCAAAATGGGACACTATTCAATCATCCTTTTTTCAGCTGTCGGCTTGAATATTATCGTTTGGTCTCTACGAAGGAACGAAAATAGTCAAAAAGAGAAAGAAGAGCAATATATTCAGGACTTTAAAGAATGTTGGTTTTACTCTTCCCCGTGTAGAATGATCGATTCATTGATGTGTTCGAGGTCCTGCCATTTTAGATAAGGCGCAGCCAAAATGGCGAACGATTCGCAATCAGCGTAAGACACTGCAAGATCCACCAATAGCGAGATAAGAGAGTGCTTGGCTATCAAGTCCATCTAGAGCGGAAGATCTCTTTCTAAGATACTGATTTACCTACAAAGCGCCCGTTACGAGTATATGAGCGAGACTCGTTGTTGTTGTCAGTAGATTGTCACCAAGATAACTCCGTTAAATCACTCTGAGCGTGATTTATAACATCTCCAAACTGTTTTTAGACCAAAATAAGCTTTAAGAAACATTGTTCTGTGTGGTTAGTACAAAACATAAGTGTTTGTTTTTTGATTATTGTAGAAAAATAGGGTTCAAATCCTGGCCCTATTTGCTAGAGGGTGCCGATGAGTCTATATGATAACGATCTGCGATAGGTCAAGATTTTAAGATAAAACGAGCGCCTAAAAACTTAGCAAGCTCCAACCAATACAGGTCTTAGTATTGCTGATCTCAACTGATACCAAAACTATTAATATCGATTCTTTGAACTTATTAAATATTCCATGGGGATTTGGGTATCAGTGAATTTCTCATCGTTTTTTTTTTTTTTGTTTTGTTTTTTTTTGCATCACGAAGCCGCGGTTGTCTTTGTTACCGTGCGGTAAGAAATTCTTCTTTCTACTTCGCTACCTCTCTGATACCTCGCCGTTCCTTGGAATATCAGTGACCTATCGAAAAATCGAAATATTTCACAAACTTTGTGAAATGATATTGAAGAAAGGACTTGCAGAAACCCATTCACAGAAAATAAATCCCGCGTTATCACAAAATGAGATCAAWTACACTATTATAATATAAATGACAGAGATTGGATCTTTTTCCGTGTAGCGCATATATATATTTAAGAAGGAACCTTGAATATCAAGGCGACAGCGGTACTGTCGTTTTTGAATGAAAAAATATATGGATTTTTCGTTTTATCGCTTTTCTGCAATGTGTACTTTACTACGTATCCACTTTCCTCGCAAATGGTCAT